GCTTGAATTCAAGTTAGTAGTATCTTGCATTTAATTCTAACATTACGAAAAGGCGATCCTCAAAAACCCACCGACGATTGCTGGTTTTTATAGGTTTCCATTTTTTTAGGAAGCTGAAAAGCATTGTTATTGTTTATGATGTGATATTTTATCAAAATATAATGTTGCAATATTAGTTATTACAGCGTCTTAGTCTATGGATAAAAGATCGTGACCTTTCACTTGGATATTTAATATTGAGATTACATTTTGGAAAATATTTACAATATTTTAAGTCGTAAGTTTAATACATTACAATGTCATGAAGACATCAGACTTTGTTGGTAAAAAATGTAATAGGTTTTTTATTTAATAAATAGTATTGCGAGAAAATCGGTGTTATTTCATTTGCAGAGCCAAAAATTGAATATGCATTTTGTTTAAATGCATGCATATGTACATTATTATATATGTTCTAATTCATCAAAATGGTCAAAAACTGTAAAATCAAAATTTTACCGGTGGGCTTCGGAGCCCCTCTCCCTTAGTAATGCACGGGACCATCAATTCCATGGTATTTCGAGGGTTAATACTGCTGCATACCTCGCTGCATTTGCGCGTGTGCCGCTGGGAGTCGCGAGACGATTGGGCGTTTGAGGGAAGCCGATCGTTTTCCTTGAGAGCTCGGTACTGGTGGTGCCGGACATGCAGCGACCACTAGTCGTAGGAAACAGACGCCCAACATTCCGACTGGAATAGAGGGCAGTGAGTCCCATGGCCTATCAATTTCACATTAAAACTACGGACAAAACTACAGGGCACTAGGACAGGAATCGCAGTATTAACCAGGGACGCAACGATCGCCAACTTTGCTCAAAAACATTTCATGCATTTGTGGGAAATGCCACATTCGCGTGGGGAAATAAACCTCAAGTATTTAAATGGCAATCTGCACATGAAAAAACCGCGACTGACTGGAGGCACGGAAAAATCTATTCTGATCGTTAATAGTGATGTTTGTTCCTCTGCCCTTCGTGTCAAGACAATGGATCGCTGTAGTTATACCTCTATCCCTCACTACTACCCATCTCTCCGTCTAGGGGCAGGGAACAGACTCCGCGCTGGGAACGCCACCTTTCCCAAAGGCAAGGGCTACTAGAGGAAATTTCATTTTAACTTAAAATCAAACGCCAGGAAGAATAATTTTATACCCAAATTACTATAAAATATTAACAAATGTTACGCCATTACATTCTTCTTTGCTAATGATATACATATATCAGATTATATATATATATATAATATATATATATAGATCTATATATATATATATATATACAGTTTGAT